GTATTAACTCATCTTTCGATCGCTCGATTTTGAATTCTAGAAATTTCTTAGTTTTTGAGATTTACACAAACAATTTCGTGCTGAAAATTTGAATTTCAAGATAAAGTAACCTGAACGACTCGAAACGTGTTTCTTATAGGTTTTCGACAATGCTCTTCCCAGTGGCATCGTTTTTAAATATTGAGAAAGTTTTCTGAAGGGTTTTCCAGAGATCGGATCTCTGGAATCTCCTTAGAAAACTTTTTCAAAATCCAACTCTCATGCCATTAGAAAGAGGATCATGAAAAACCTATAAAAAAATGGTTCATGAAATTTTAGTTCACTCATAAAGCTAAAGTCCGCCTGCTCTAGCAAAAAATGCCCACTGTGCGTTGGAGGCTGACGTCTGGGAGTGGATGAAGTACTGTCTAGAAAAATATATGAAGAGAGTCAGCAACAAAAGCACAATCTAAACGTGATTCAACCCATTTATTGTCGATCTTGAATTGATTTTCTGCCGCGGTGTTAGCGTTTACTATATTTTAACAATATTTTTTAGAAACTAAAGATAAATGTTTTCACATTTTTGCCCGACAGGACAACGCTGACAAGTCTTTTTTTATTGTGAATATATTATGAATGATAGCCATCAACCTGTAATTGATGCTGAAAGTAGTGGAACTGAATGTACTGTACGAACATTGACCGGTGACTTATTATGTGTGAAAGAATTTACACCGTAAGTACATTTTTTTCTTTGTTGGTTATTTTACCATTTATAATATTTGTACGTAGGATATTTTCTCGAATGAGTGCTTATTTAGCATGTGCCAATATTGACAATAGTCATCCAAAACATATTTATTTCCAACCGACACCTGATCATGTTTTAAGTGTTGATTATTCCGACTGGCTTGATTCAGCCGTTTTATGTGACTCAAATGGTATGTAGATGCAAATAGAGATAAAAATATACTTGTTAGATTATTATTTTGGGACACGTGTATTTTTATCGTTTAACAAATTTTGTTCGTTGGACAAGAAAAAATGAATGTTCAACAAAATATCGTGTGGTATGAGTTTTATGTTAATTTTGAAAATGAATAGTTAACAAAGTTATTTTATTGTTCTAGCAAATTCTTAGTATACCATCATTCTTGCAAAAATCATCAACGGACAATCAACAATCAATAAGTTCGAACAGTAAATCATCGCCATCGAAACACGGTTTGACACAAATGTCATTTTTAAGAAATATGGCTTTATTCTCTAAAACTATTATTTATTTATTCTTTAGTTAATCAAAAAGGTCCACTTACCACTAGTAAAAATGAATCGATAAATAATGACTGTGATGGTACCTATGAAAAAGGCGCGTATTCTGAATTAATCAAAAAATATTCTTTGAATATAAACGCCTGTTGTGAGGTGAATATTATATTATTTTTCGTTGACTGTAGAAATAAAAGTATTTCGTTTTTTTCCATTTGTAGTCAAATTTTGTCAGTAAACAAGACGATTTTAGCAAAGCTGGTAGTTATTCTCCGAATGCCTTGCATAAAGTATATAATCATTCAATGAAGACTACCTTGACATCTTTATTTGCGGTTTTCTACATACTTTAGACTCGTTTTAATCCTAATCTTGGTTCTCATACATGGTGTGCAGCGGGTGGTGAATCTGGTCTTCTTATACTATTACCGTTGACGCGTGCTTGTGCGACAATTGCAGATCTACATTACAAAGAAGAAAACAAACATTAATTGTGTTAATTAATTTTATCTTGTTATTGTAAATTTGTTTATGTCTTTGTTATAAAAATAGTTTTCTACTATTTTATCAGTTTTGTTTCTTTAATAAAGGAACTCTAATGACGATTACGTGCAATTCTAATTATAAAGGAAAATCTCACTAGAGATGTTTGTGGACGAAGCGTTTATCGAGCATGTTTTTCAGCTATATCAGTCGATATTAGAACGATGCATAATTCTAAGTTTATTTGGTTTTGTAATTCACATTTCAAGCGATTCTTTTCTGTCAGAGACCGAAACGAATCAGTCCAGCTTGACTTGAACCCTAAAATTTTTGAAAGGTTTCATTGATTCTATCTGACCCGAAAGGACTTTTTGACGACAGAGAAATCGCCCAACATAACCCATTTCGGTCTCTGTTTCCTATAGGCGACTTTATTTATACATCCATATCAGATATTAAATTAGAGAGCAATTATGCTGCGCACAAGTTGCGACGTCCATAGACTGTGTCTGCCAAGGGGGAAAAAGCAGCACTAGTGCTGAAAAAAGTGCTGAACGCTATAAGATAGCCAAGTGTGAGAGTTTGTGCTTCTTAATATTCAGGATGGTGGAAGGTTAAATGTTCGAATCTACCCTAAATCCCTTTTTTTTCAAATTTGTTTTGTTCTCATTGGATTTCAATTACTTTTTTCATACAGAATCTGTATTCATCTTTTTTTTGTAAATTTAAGAGGAATGTCTTTGAAGGTAGAGAATCCATTTCAGTTTTATTCTTCAGAAAATGCTTGATCTACCTTTTCTGTTGCAGTAAACGACGTTCAGGCAACAAGGGTAGATGTTCTCAGTATATTCTCTAAAAGTAAAAAAATCTATGCCAAACACAAAAAGCAACATTTTCTGGTATCCGGGTGTTTGACAAAATCAATCCAAAACGATCAAGTTCTTATTTTCATGTCAAGGTTGGCGACAAATGAAAATACTTACACAAACAATCAGCGTGTTGGCTGCTAACAGAAGGAACCACCTGGAAAACCATTTTTGTAGTAACTCTGAAAAACAACCGAAGCTTTTTTAATGAGGCGTTCTTGTAGCCCGCATATTTCTGATTAAAATGAGACCTCTACATAACCTTTCTTTGCAAAGTTACAGAATGTACAAGAAAAGCCTTAAATATTCATTGTCAACTGAAAGCTACAGAATAGGAAGAAATTAATTTATGAGCGAAAATTTCAACAAATATTCAGTATTAGTGGAAGAATATGTGTATGATTCACTAAAGGACCATCGGATTTCCAAAGATCTTCAGAAAATCCTCTGCACTAAACATTTGTATGCGGGATTTGCTGATCATTTTGCTAGATTGCCCGAGTAAAACTACACATTTGCTGAAATTTTCGCTCATTTTGGATGAGAAGTGAGTGAGCTATGGGAATTTTAACTTTACATGGCTACAGGCAAAAACTGGATCAGCTGAAGTTCCTTCGGTCTGAAGATGAAAATAATTAATGCCACGATGATCGGCATGGCTGCTTACCTACGTCTCGAGTGTTTTTCAGATTCCCAAATCTCGAGATGTGGAGATAGCATGGTCTGTGGAGAATGTCTCTAGCTCCCGGATCATAAGAGATAGAAACCTGGGACTTGTCGAAAATTGTAGATCAACATCCAAGGTCTCCAGTCGACTATTTGGAATCGAAAATCCAAAGCTTCTTCAATGGTGATAAAGTTTCTGCAAAAAGGTTTGAAGAGACTTACCACAGACAGGTGGTATTTCTAAATTTATTTTCTCATAAACGGATGGTTCACAAATTCTACTCTCTAAAACTGAAAACCGCAGTTCTCTAGCTATTTTCTGTCAAAAGTTATTGATAGAACAATGGAGTGCATTATATTTTGAAATGGATAGTAGTAATCCAAGATGCAGTTATTCTCTATCTATTCTAATTTTTGGCTGGAAACGAAACATTTACTGGAAAACTAGTATGAATTAAATAGAGAAAAAAGGCAGTTTATGCACTCCGAAGTATTGCGAGATTTAAAGCATATTTATCGTACCATAAGTTTAATTAGACTTTTCTCCTTGATCTAATCAATACTTTTGCCATAGAAAAATTTAGTTTTCGTAACCGAGATCTTTTACCTGAATTTTTTAAAAAACTTGTGAACCAGGATCCATAGAATATTATTTCCATGATCTTTTAAATTCATGTTCTCTGTTACAAATTTGAGACTATGAATTAATTTAAACGAATTTTCAATGCCAAATTGATGTCTAGTATTATTCGTTAAGTCGGTTGAAACGAATTTTTGCTTGAGAATTGATTTAAGTAAATTTTAACCAACAAATGCATTTAGATTGGCTTAAAGAAAAACAGGATAGACTAATTTTGTGCTGGAAATTAGTTTAAATTAAGTTGTAGACTCAAATTTGTTTGAAGCGTTTTAAACAAAATGAATTTCTATTAATTTTTATTTGTAAATTAGTTCAAACAAATTTCTATTAACAAATAAAAAGTATATTTTTTACAATTGAAAAAATAAAGTTGACCGATTGCCGTTTGCCCCTATAGATTTACCGTATTCTTCCATTCTACCATTAACCCAATTTCCCTCGTATTTATCACAGACAGTAGAATAGAAGATACCCTGACCAGCGCATTCAAACTTGACTCTCTTCTGAATATTTTACTTTTCCAACATCAATTTTGGGGGGCAGCAAGTTTTTTTTCTTCCCTAGAAAACACCACAGCTACACGAGACCTTTGTTCATCTTATAACTCTTTAAAAACTTATGCTGATGTGCTGAAACTTTCATGAAAGAAGTAGGTTTTCCCGAATTGCATTTTCAGGCTGTTTGCATCTAATATTAAAAACTTCATTATTCACTCAATAAACATCAGAACGAGTTCAAAACTTCAGGATATGATTAATTTTCTCCGATAAATGCGATTATGGGACCGAAAAATCGAAAAAGCATATTTTTGTTATTGGGTTTTTCAGAAGCCCTTTTGGAAAACCTTAGAATTTTGTAAAATTTCTTTTTAGGTCGCCGATAAATAGGATATAGAATAGCTTAAATACTCTCTATATTCTGAAGTTTTGAACTGGTTCTGATATTTAGTGAATGAATAGTGAATTTTTTAATATTAGGTGCAAACAGCCTGAAAACGCAAGTTTTCGTAAAACTCGATTTTCAGTAGATTTTTAGAATTTTTTCTAGAAATGCCACGAGACTCAGCATGATCGATTACCTATAGTCCATCCGTTTTCAAGGCTACCAATAGTCACCGGGTGCGAGTCCTGGGACTCGTAGGAAATCGGACACAACATCAGAGCCGCGAAAAATCAAGGTTTCGCTCGACTCTCATTTTGAAGAGGACACCTTGACTTATCAGATCATGGAGGAAAATCAATACAATCCTATTGAAAAGTTTTTACACGCAGCCTGGTTTTTCAAAGATCTCGTAGAAAACCTCTTTTAGAAGACACTTCTGAAAAGTTTTTGCTTAAGAAAACATGTCCCTAAGCCTCCTTTTTCGCATGGCGGAAACCGCAACTCTCTAGAGCATTTCATTAAAATGCTATTCAAGAAACAGTGACCGGCATTCTTTTTGAAACAGATAATAGTTTCTATCGCTCAAACCTATCAGCGGAACAAAAAAATAAAGTGGGTTTTGAGTTGCGAAATTGTGCTTTTTCATATTCAACATACCCAATAACCTAGACGATTTTCTATTTTCGGTGCAGGATCCTTCCAAAGTTTATAAAAAATTTTCAGACTACTGTAATATTATTTTTCTAGGGAAATTTTGTTGCACCATTTTGGATCAAAATTTTTTCTAAACTTTTGAAAGTACCCCGCACCAAAAATCGAAAATCTTCTGGATAATTGAGTATGTTCAATATAAAGAATAACTATTCAGCAACAACAACAAACAGGTTTGAGGTTGCAATCGAAGCTAGTTTACATCAATTTGAGAGATTGAAATTATTTTAGACTCATTCAAAATAAATTAGTCTAAATTTGAGAGTAGAAATCAATTTGAAACAAATTAAAGTACGACATTATTTCAAATGAGTTCGAAATAAATTAATTTAAACCAGTTTAATTAAAACTAATTTAAATTAATGTTTTTTCAAACTAACTGGAGCTAATTGCCTAAAAATAATAATAGCCTAAAAGTTAATTTTAGTTCATTTTAACTGGCAAAATTGATGTTATTTAATAAATTATTTTAATTTCGGCCTTCTAAATTGATATAAAATAATTTTTCACCTTTTTTTGGATAAGAAATTAGTTTGAATTAATTTAAAATTATTTAAAAGTTTCAGCGGGTTACGGTTCTGTGATAAAAACTGTCAAATCTTTGAGTTTTTCTTCATTAAAGACCGAAAAAAAGAAATTCAAACAAAACTTCACGCTCAGATGAAATTGTAAAAAGGAAAAAGAAGGATAAAAAATCCTTACGGGCCTCCCCCCCTCAGGAATGGTGATTTTCGGTCAAAAAATCGGTTTTGAGATACACACATGGAAAGATAGCCTGAAGTGTCTACTTCCAGAATCTGTATTGCTTTTGGTTACAAAACTGATTTTTCGGGGATTTTGAGCAAGT